AAAAATAGATCTATTACTGCTCTTTCTTCCTTTATTTTCAATAACGTCATTGGGGAGCGAACAGCGTAATATCTGATTCTTTCTCTTCAATTGATTATGCGTCGTGATGATGGCATAATCGAAGAAAGAAGTGACTATTGCCTATTTACTTGTGTCTTTCTCCGTTCTTTCTTATTATTCCTGATTCACTATTTCGCAGTTTTTTAGAAGGAAGTGAAAGAAAGTGATTTCGCCTTTTTTCCAGCTCCCGCTGATTGAATATTGCCAGTTATTGAAAGGAAAGTGGAGTATTATTTCCATTCTTCACGTTCTATATATAGTTTTGTGTGTGTCTACGTTGCTAAAAGAAAAGACATATTGTACTGTGTGATCTATTCTCTTCACAAGGGACTTTTGATCATATTCTTACGTTCTCAATTTATACATCAATGTTTAATTTACTAGCAAAGGTCTGCTATTAATCGGAAGAATTTATTGGAAGCATGTAAGCATAAAATGTACTTTTTTATGTTAATGAAAGAAATTTTCACCACGGTTGTCTCTAGAACTCCTGTTTCCGTGGATGTTGTGTTGAGCAGCCATGTCGAATAAACAACTACAATATAAAATCAAAACAGAAATAGGACGAGACGTTTCTAGCAAAAGAAATCATAACAACTTAACCTCACAGCCGCATAAGAGTGGACAAGACATAGTGCATCGCTTTTCTACAGATTCTTACGTTGTATTACAAAGGAATGCATGTCAAATTTTTGTGGTTGAATTAGCACCACCCGCTCTATATAAAGGGATGACATTGTTTTGTGAGCTAGCGTAGCAAGAGACATTTTGCATATTGCAAAACAGCAGTCTGTTCTTTTTCGTTTCCAGAGCGAGAAAAATAAACTATCTTTCAGTTTCTATAGTCAACATCGCCTGAAACAAGATATACAAAAACGATACTGATGAGCCAAGAAGCGTGGCAGCTTACTCACTCTTCGACACACATTGAATGGATGTGGCAGACGAACCTAGATCCATGGTCAAATTCTTACCTAAACGAATGGAGTCGTTACTCGGATGTAGAAAACCTCATTATTGAAGAAGCCTTTAAGGCTAAAGAAACCCATGCCATGCTGGACGGCTGTCACATTGATTTTATACGTAACGTTCAAATCTGCAACAACGATGACAACGAGCAAAGGCCTGTCAAACGTATAGTGCTCAAGAAGGATGAAAAACATTTGCGAAAAGAACGATTCATGTTCGATCCCATTGCTCCGAAACGTTCCTTCGGGGACGAGTATGGCTGGGTTTCGCCCTTTGTAATGGAAACGAGAACGTATCTCAACCTTAAAAAGAAACAATTACCTTCACGAGACGAAACAATCGTTCCGATCATCGTTGAGAGAGCCGCTCTTGGTATTATTGAAGAAGGTAAAAAAGTGGAAAAACAGCGTGAAGCAGAATACCTGGCTAAAAAGTTGATGGAACAGCAAAGAAGTGGAATAAAAAAAGTATGGCAATGCTGTGCCACCCTATACTCGATGGAAAGTTTCTTGTACAAGAAACTGAACGAGACTATGAGGTTGATAGGGAGCGACGAGCATGAACAGATTTGGCGAAGTAAAATTCCTACATTGGGACCTTTTTGCCTACTGTTGTGGGATGATCCCTTCAATAATAAACCTAACACTGGAAAAGTACTTTACCGAGGAGCTCAGCTAACCGACGATCAGATCGCTGCCTATGAAAGCTGTTCCAAGCATTCTGATGAATATCGTTCGTTTCAAGCATTTACTTCGTGCAGTCGAAATCGCGCTGTAGCTGAGGCATTTAGTGATAACGCGTTATTCGTTATGGAGATACGTTTAGCTTTTACGGTGGATCTCAGTCCACTGTCTAATTACCCTGATGAAGAAGAAGAACTTGTAACTCCGGGCATTTGTTTCACTGTTCACAATGTGGAACTTGACAATGACACGAAAAAACATTTAATCTACTTGCAGCTAAGACAACGCTTCAGTGGTAAGTAGAATCAACTACTCCTAAAAGTTTCTATCCTAGTTTTCTTCATGACCGAGTAGTCGTTTAGAATTAATAAGTCCTATGAAATTGCAACCTTCGTAACATAGAGGTTCAGCTACTTAACAATAGTTCGTACATTGAAATGATATCCTGCAAGATTTGAATATTCGTTCGGAATGAAGGTAGCACCAATGAATCAATATTGTTAGTACTCCACAGAGGATACTTAGCAAAACCTGAACAAACAGTCTTACTTCCTACATAGTTTCGAGTGAAAATAGTCCTTTCTCAGATTTATCTCTAGCTAAGAACAACAGAGTAGGGATGGCGCATTTACTGTACTTAAGCGATCAGATTAAATAGAGATTTACTTACTTCTTTACTAGTAAATAATAAACACTATAGTTACCTATTAACTAATAAACGTAAATACCTTATTCATTTATTTGTTAGTAAAGGTGAATATCAGTCTCTTAGTGAACAGCAAATATCTTATCATTGGCTAGTAAAGTAAACGTAAAGCAACATTCCTAGAACAGTTCGTTTCACTGAGAAATTGCGAGTTTGCTCTAATATATCTATAGGCGTGTAATACTAACATGCGATGCAAAAGTAATGGCAAAAAATGTCGATCCCTATTTCTCTTCACTAAAAGGGTGCTGAAAGAAACCTTTTTTTACGAAACGATCGAGTTTTTTCTTCTCTTTCGATTCGTATGTAACCTATTGTTAAAATATTTTCATAAACGAAATGACGCAATAGAAAAGAGATGCAGCTTTAGAATAAAATGCTACACTTTTTCTATAAAACAGCTGCATTCATTGTCGATCTTAATATCTCTTCGACAAATAGGCTCTGAAAAAGAGTTTTTATCAGTTGATAGGAAATTTGCTCCTCTTTCAAATGGTGTATGATTCACATTTGTAACGTATCACTTAGTAAAGGAGACGAGAAAAAAACGGAAACTTTCGCGGAAGAAATTTTAACCCTTTGAGTTCTGAATTTTTCCTATCGAACCAAATTTGATGAAACGATCAGGAATGGTAGAGCTAGATGCGCTGATGAAGTTACGCTATAGGACAGGTTTTGGCAATCCCGTGGTTTTATCTGAGGGAAGTGCAAACTTGGTAAAATTTCGAAAGTAGGCTCCCAAGATTGCTTTATCATTTGGCTCAGGAACAAGCTACAGGCCTGGAGATTTCAGTGTTAGATAAAGAACAATTAGACAGTTCTGGAGCACTAATAAAAGTTGAAATTTTATTTGGACTTCATAGAGATATTTCAGCCGAAAAAGCGTCAAAAATTCGCATTTGCCGTAGTATTTTTCCCAAAAAGCAGAACATGGGAGAAAAAACGTCCGTTACAAAAATGACCGCCTAAACGAGTGGCATGTATAGTAAAATTTTCAGACTTCTTGCATTTGTAACATAGGAGTCAGATAAGATCCAATTTGACTGGGAGATCCCATCTTGTCTCCTCATTTGGATCCCCTCACAGGGTTTCCAATTTTTTTCGAACCTACAGCTATACTTATAAGTGCAAGTCCTACAAGCTCTGAAAGTTTCATTCCATTCCGATGAAGTCGAAGTAAACTCTGGTACACATTCGACAGAAGCAGGCCCCCCCCCCCCCTCCCGATGGAGTCAAAACTTCGCAAGGTGCATTTTTCAATGTCATCCATACACTCCATTATTCAATCAATCTTGTACGGATCTCTGCTCGCTTCTAACATTTATTGAAAATATTTCTCCTAGATTCTCAAAAACTCGAGGATTAAAAAATTCTCAAGGTGGGACATATGTGTCCCGCCAGGACTCAAAGGCTTAAAGTTTTACATGAACTCGTCAAAAGTATCTTGTAGATGGCAGCTAGCTATAATTAACTTGAGTTTACGGAATGTTTTTAACGATTACATAAAAGTCAAAGTAAACACCAGTTCACAAGATTTTTGAATGAGTTCACGAAAATCGAGTTAACTTCGAAATGTTTATATCGAAGTGATGTATGGATTACTATTTTGCGCTATTTTTCTGAATTCTACAAAAAGTGCAGATTTCTTTCGGGATGCTTCTGTTTTGTGTTGCGTCGTTTCCTTTTTGAACGTGTTACAAAAATAAGTTATATACGATTCGAACGAGAAGAAAAAGCTCTGTCACTGGGTACAAATAGGTTTCTTTCAGAAAGCCTCTTATCGAAGAGAAATAGGGATCAACATTTTGCGCCATTACTTGTCCATAACATATTATTTCGGAATAAATTTTCCATTGAACTCTAAGTGAGGATAAGATTTCAACGCTAATTTATTTTCAAGAAGTCCCTATCTCATTCAGCCCTTTTAGAATAAAATATCGCTCTTCTATAAGTTGAAGTGTCCACTTTTACTTTTCTTTAAAATTCAAATTCATACTATTCCAAAGTTTACACTTTGTGGAATGACTTCACTTCACACTATTCTCTAAAGCATAAAAGATATGGCATATGTTTCTGTCATCGAATATCCTCGAAATGATATAACACATCTGAGTCAAACATTTCCTCACTGTTCTAGGGAGTTTTGGCTAACAGGCGCAAATATCCAATCGTAACGGAGGTGATTCGGTATCTTTGTTTTTCACACAATGCAAACATTTTTGTAGATCGAAACAAACAGAATTTTGTCACATTCAAATGCTTTATTCTATTGGGATGTGCGTCGAGTGTGAATTAGGATGTGAATTGAGTGTGGGTGTGGATGTGGGTAATGTTGGTGTGGATAGCCTCTTCATCCATACACAGCCCACACCCTAACTAATCTACAGTGAACCAAGTCTAAGGTCCAGAAAAAACCTATTATCATGTAGATATTCAATAAGACATTTTGTCTCTCGAAAAACTAACCTTCTTGTGCAACGATACCGCTCAGAGGAAAAATCTCGGTCCACCTTTTCGCGAAAATCATTTCCTCTTACGCTTTGTAATTGACGGCATGACAACACTGTAAATCTGTTCCCACCATGATATGCTATTCTAAACTGTCTTTAGTATCAGATCAATACCGAATTACAAGTGCACTATATCCAACATCCACGAACATCACATCTGATGATGATAATGATGATAATGATGATGATGATGATTTTCGTTTTCGTGATTTTTTTGATGATGATCGTTTTCTTAACGATCTTCTTCGTCGCTGTGACCGTGATGGTAATTATCGTCGGTAAAGAATGAAACATGTGGCGTCAAGCAGCATGTTTGAAAACGGGTGAACCATATGTGAGACCCATCAGTTTTGCTATTTGATGTGAGCTTTAATCAAGTAAACCAATAAAAATACGAAAACGCAGTTGCTTATGCCTAGAATGAACTTCGGTGCTGAGGATAAGAGGGTGTGTGAGTGTGGGTGTTTTTTGCTCATACCCACACCCGCATGCACTAGTTGATCCAAGGGTGTGGGTGTGGGTGTGGGTGTGGGTGGGATGGGTGTGGGGTGTGGGTGTGGG